ATTATTATTATTATCATTATTATCATTATTATTATTATTACCAAATGAGACCACCCTGGATATAATCTACAGTTATGACAAAAGCAAATATTATCTTATTCAAAGTCAATGAAAAACTTATTTATCAACAGTTCTGCTATGGAGTCGGATGGTCGGCTTATGGAGCGATCTACAGTTATTCACAAATAGTATATTGACACGTGTCCTACAATTAATACACGTTGGACATGTGTCAGTATATTAAGTGATCGATGGCTCTATAAGAAAACCATTCGATTGCTCCATAGAATTTTTGTATTTATCAATACAAATCATGAAATCTTAGGTTGCATAAGGCTCAAGTAACAAGCAATATGGACCATATGATAACATATACCAAACCCATGTGGTTGATGCAAAACATCTCATCTGATCACCTTTCTATCACCCAACATTATAACAGCTACAACTAAGGGAATAACAACTAATAAAGATCAAACATAAAGCATTATTAAACAAAGACAAACAAATACTAAAAGAAATGTGCAGAGGTACATGTTTGTTGTGGTTTGTTATTCCATTCTTGTCATGGGAAAAAAACTAAGTCAATGGGATTCTGCTTTTTCTTTCCCTCGCATTGCGGTTTTCTTTAAGTCATCGTTATTTTGTTCGTCTAGCTGCTGCTTATAACCTTTCTCATGTATCTGCATTTTTAAACCGTTTTTCGGTTTTCGATGTGTTGTGTAATTTTTGGAGCTTTTGAGGTTGTTAGTGCCTCGAATCGGACGAGCTGATTTAGAATCAGTATGAAACAGAGGTCGAATTCAAGGAAATTTCACCACAGATGGAAGAGGAAGTTTTCTACTCTGATATTGCTCGTTTTTTGTTTTGCGACATTTGTTTTGATGGAGTCGCAGTGCAGTAGAATCAAAATGCTGAAGCTGATCACGCCACGTATGCAAAAGCCGAAAATGGCTTTCCTTTTTATAGCTCGAAATCGGATCCCACTCGACATGGTTTGGGATGAATTCTTTCGGGTATTTTTTTTTTCTGTTTTTTGTTTGTCGAAAATGATATTAATTCATTTATAGCTGCAATTTGCTTGCATTTCTTTTATTTGGTTTAATATCATTACATGCAACTTCTTCATTATATTTTATACGAGAATTTTTCGAGTGCAATGTTTTTTTTCACATATTGTGTAATAATGTATTTGAAGATCTCCATGGAAAGGTGACTTACATGTGATTTTGATTGTGTGAAAATTCTTCTTGTTTAATCTCAGGACAGCTTTAGACAGATTTTAGCACAAAATGGTAAAAGTAAAGTATATTAGTAGTTCTTTCTTATTATGTCCTGAAGAAATCATAGTTACATTCTATGAAAAAATTAAACTTTTGTAATTAATCTAGGGTGATGCAGAAAATTATAGGTTTTCGATTTATGTTCATTCGAGACCTGGATTCGTTTTCAACACGATAACGACAAGATCAGCGTTCTTCTTGAACCGCCAAATTAATGATAGTATACATGTTTTCACTTTTTTTTTATATATATACTTACATTTTCACTTTATATTCCAAACGAATAATAACTAAATAAATAATAATCGAATTCAAATCTGACATTTATATAGCAAATGGTGTTTCGTTAGGTAGATTGGGGTGAAGCAAGCATGATCGAGGCAGAGCGTATTTTGCTTCGTCACGCGCTGATGGATCCTTCTAATACGCGATTTTTGTTCCTTTCGGACAGGTTATTAAATTAATTAAAGTACTGTCAAATTTTATTTCACTATGGGATAATAATAATATAAAGCAATAAACCCGAAATTCGTTTTTTACTTCTTGCAGCTGCATACCTTTGTACAATTTCAGTTATACATATGACTATATAATGTCTGCTTCGACTAGCTTTGTCGATAGGTAAGAGAAATAAATTTAATTTTTTTTCTCTATTTATGTTTGTAATTAGCATTTGATCACCTATGAGAAAACTATCTTATTGTTCGATTGTTGTTGCAGCTTCGCGGACACAAAAGAAGGACGTTACAATCCGAAAATGAATCCGGTGATTCCTGTCGACACCTGGCAAAAAGGATCACAGGTGATGTATAATTAATTTTTATTTGTAAATTTAGTTAAACTCGACCGATATATAATTTATCCAATCATCGATTTCGATTTTACAGCTTCTTTCTCACAGTTTTGTTCGTTTAGTGGGTTGTTTTAACCAGAAAACACGCTCGAATTGTGGTTGAAGATGAAATTGTATTTCCTATGTTTCAATTGCATTGTAAGGCAAGTTTGTGTCTTCTCTTTGTTTTGCAGTATTTTTTTTTGTCAAATTTCCTTATATGAACTGAATATGCTAAAATTGGTGGAGCATTCTCTTACTTTTGTCCTTAAACAAACAGAAAAGATCTTTGCCTGAATTTTGGAGGGAAGGTTCTCCGGTAAGTGTTAATTCTCTCCATTGATCTCAACTTTCATGCCTCTTTTCGAAGTAGATTTTCACGGTTTATTTGTCGATTATGTTTACATGTAGCCTACAGATGCATCTAAGGAACATAACTGTATACCGGATGAACATTATGTTCAGACTTTGCTTAATGTACGTAACTTACCTATTTTAGTCTATCGGACCAAATAATCGAACAAAATATATAATAGGTTGTAATAATGTTATCGATTTGAATCTAACTATATTTGGCTTATATATATTAAGCAAAAAGGCTTTGAAAAAGAGATTACTCGAAGGTCGTTGACTTATAGTTCTTGGGACCTCTCTTCTAGTCGAGATCCTCAGAGGCGAGGATGGCATCCGGTGTCTTATAAGTTAGCCGATGCTACCCAAAACCTTATACAATCTATTAAGGTAACATTTTTTCTTAGCTTTTGTCTCAATTTTCATGAAATTAACCTTGACAAGCTCTACTTGGTAATGAGAAGCTTGCATTATTCCTTACGGATCAAAAATTCTTATACGAGTCAACCTAATCGTTGGGTGGGTTTGACTTGCCATACTATTGACTGTCTAACTGTTAGTCTTGTCTAACTCCAGCCTTCCTTACTGCTTTTCGCTGTAAAAAACTATAGAAAATGATTTGTATATCTGATCGACACTCGATCAACACTCTACAGGCCATAGATAACATCTACTACGAAACCGAGTATAGAAGAGAATGGTGCAATAGTAAGGGGAAGCCTTCGAAGTGCTTCCTTTTCGGGAGGAAGTTTACACGGCCAGCCGCTCTAAGGCTTCTTAATATGGTTAGCTATTTTTCGAGTATCGATTTTTTTTTATTTTTATTTTCAATGTTTTTTCTTGGTCCCTCAATAATTTTTGTTTTATTTTGTTTTCTTTTCATTTCTTTTTTTTTTTATTTTTTGTATTTTTGGCAGTCTGCTCTAGGTATTTCAACTAGATCAACAGGTACAGCCTGATTAGAAGATGATAGAAGTAGTGAATGAGAAAGAGTTAGTTTTTCACATGGTATGAAATAAAAGTTGTGCATGTAATGTTATTACTGTTGTAGTAAAGGTGGTGTGTTAATATGTTGCTCTCATCTCTTTTTTGATATGTTAATTTTTGTTATTCAATTTGTAACAACATAATTAACACGTAGATAATATAGAAAAAGCGAGAGGTTTATGATACACGAAGTCGGTTTTCAACGTGAACCGAGTTATTTCAGTATGTATGCGTATGGAATGATCAGAATTCGATCCTTGTACAAGAAATAATTTCAGCTATTTATATAGTAGCTTTTTTGGGCTCGTATCTCGATGTGTGTACGGCCGCATTTAGTGCAAAGGGCCTTTATGTGGAGGTTTGGACAGTTGAGCCCACAGGGATGATGACGGGATGTGAGGTGCGTAAGGGTGTCACGTGGGTGTGTCGTCACCTGCTTTGAATTTTATGAACTCGGTTTTGTTCCCACGTCGATTCGGAAGATGAATTCTCGGTTTATTAGTGAAGTCGGTTGTCAATCCAGGTCTGTGCCGATTTACCATAAGTTCATATTAACAGGGAGTTGACTTACTTAAATGCAGTCGTGTATCACTTAAAGCGCAACATGACCAGGTCGGATATCAACATTAATATTGTTAATATAGGTAATTGATTTTTTTATTTTTTATTTTTTCTCATTTGTCACTGGCACTAGAAATTGCAGTTAATCTGGAAATATCCACAATTTTTTTTTCTTTTGGTAGTCAGCCACGGTACTTGAAAATATGCCCCAACTAATCCGTTGGTCGACTCGGGTCGCATACTTGGCAGTGGTAGGTGAGTCTCCCAACAAAAGTTTTCTGCATCCACAAGAACTAGGACTCGAGATCTTGCTTAAACGACATCAAGTTGCTTATCACCTGAGTCAACCTACCTTGGTATATATCCACAATTAATTTTTCAATTAACCTGAGTTTGCCATTTGTTAAATTGGTAAATTTGACTTTTGACTGTCCGATCACACATATATACCTACATATTGAGTTATAAGATTGGACAGATTTAAATTGACCCATGCTTCCTGCAACTTTAAACACTGATCTCTAGAATGTTCATGAATTTAATTATATGCATGTAATAAATAAAGGGGCGATGACAGGTAATTAGCTTCATTTAATTAAAAAGCCACTTGCTAGTACAACTGTACATCGAGTCCATATTCCAAGTATTTTTTTTTTT